AATATTTTCTCGAGTAATGGTTGGGGGTGGACATGAAAAAGATTTTAATTTAGGGAGGTGGGTCGAAAAATATTTTAATAAATAGTTAGTTTTACTCCTACCCACCCGTATGTATAATTAATGAATGAATGGTCCCTTAGCGGCAATGGTGGGTGAGAAAATTAACTGTAAATATGAAATGCAGACTGCAAAATCACAAATAAGAACTTTTTCTGTGCAAAAACATCAAACAAATTAACTGCATACAAATAAAAACAACTTACCAAAACTAAAACGTTTATCCTCTGCATCGTTACAATCTGTCGTAAATCCGATGTAGTGATCTATTCCTTGATTTTTAATTCTGGTATCTGTTTTAGGGACTGACACCACATCTCAAATGGTGTATCTGGGGCAGGCGGCTTACCTGGAAACCCACTATAATATACAGATAAACCTCCCCACGAGGTCTGGTTTATGGCATGTTTCTGAACACAATTATATGAAGGATTTGTAGCAAGGAGCATATACAACATGTCAAGAGCATAACCAGTACTAGCCCTATATACTACCTCGAAACATCCCTTTTTTTTCAAATTGAACATGGCACTATTATCACGAAACCAAGACTGAGCAGCTGGATCCAGACATTTGTTGGAAAGTTCCACAAAAGATAAGGTTCCCCAAGACTCGTCCGACTGTAGTACGCTTGTGTCATTAATACACATCCCTGTCTGTAGATGTTTCACAAAGAAACAAGAAGCACCTGAAACAAAAAAAAAATAAAAAAAATAAAAAAAATAACGAAGTAAATAATGGACTCCTGCATGTGGCGTGTCTGTGTGCTTGTGTTTATATAAAGTACCATGTAAATAGATGGTTATTGATGGCACAGTGTCTTTCACAGCTCATTTATATGACTTATATCACATAAGTATATTTCATTTGTTTAAACAGTACATCAAGCTAATTAACTGAACTGATTGGCTGTTTAGGTACTGATGTAATAGCTAGTGGTGTAGCTACATTAGCTACTGGTGTAGCTACATTGTAGTTATTCCAATTTACAAACAGTTATTCTGGTCCATTCTTCAAATAATGCCAATGAAGTTTAATCCAATCTATTCTATTCAGACTGCAGTGTAGCTTAGATTTTTAATCATTGCCACTTATTAATTATAGTCGCTGTGGCACCCTCTGCTCAAGCGATTATCAGTTTCTGCACGCATTTTTGGCAGATTAATGAGCAAGATGGCCGCCGTTTAAGGAGTGATCCGAGTGGTCGCCGCACGCCGGGCAATTTGTATTGCAAACTGTTTCGTTATGTTTATGCAATTTTAAAGTAGGTTTTACGCCAAAGAGGTGAGAAAATGAGGGACACGACATATTAAAATGCAAATAATTTGCAGTCAGGCTCAAAATGAAATTAACAGCACTTGGTTTATTAATATAGATATTATTCTTACAGACGCACTGGGTGCAGTTTTAATTTGGCAAACTGCTTTGATTCACTACCGAAATGTTTCGTTATCTTTGTGGTATATACTTTTATATATATTGTTTTGCGTGATATATTGAACTCAGGCACCATTAGCTAGTTAGGTCACATTTAACTCGCTGACTTAACTCCGTAGAGATGCACTGATGTCTGGTATTGCTAGTGTTTAAGTTAAATTTACTATTACTGGTTCCAGTGTCATTGTATAGTCGTGTAAACGCTGGCAAATGGTTTATTTTTCCATGAAACGTTCTCGCGAATCTTTAATCTCTTACAGACGGACTGGGTGCAATGCAGTTTTTAATTTGGCAAACTGCTTTGGTACACAACGAAATGTTTCGTTATCCTTGTAGTATATACGTCTACATATTGCTTGCGTGATATAGTGAACTTAGCCACAGGTCATTAGCTACGTCACATTTAGCAATCTGAATTAAGACGTTTAGACGTGCCTGCATGTTCACTTTGGAATCATGCAAAATACTTTTCCTCTCATGAGTCATTATTAGACAGAATTGATATGCACATATTACTATATACTATACTGTATACTATATGACTGTTAAAACAACAATACTATAAAAAATGTTTAGGAACGAACTTTCCCTAAGTCTCATGTTAATAGTATATTTTGTGTTCAATATATAGACCACAGAAAAAGAATAAAAAGAATTGTGTTAATGAAAGATCCATTGGAAGATTAAAAACGACCCACAGTGTTTGTCCTGTTATCTACCGGGTGTCCCCAAAAAAAGTACCCCGGTTTGATTTATAATAACTTCTAAACAAGTAAAGCTATCAAACAGAAATAACTTGCATTACATATAGGAAGGACTAACTTAGATTTTGATATATTACAGTTGTATTTTACTTAAAAATTCACCGAGATATTAATGTTCAAAATCGGGAGCATATTTTCGGATGTGTCTAAAATTAGCGAAAATCGGCATATCAAATATAACTCCAGCGTTTCTTTGTTTAATGACATATCAGGCTAACTTGTATTTCAACGAATTGTCGTTAGGGTTTGTATAAGGGATATGGCGTAGATTTAGACATCTTAACATATATGCATGTAAGTCTTAGCTCATTGTTTCCTGAAATATGAATGTTCGAAATTATGCAAGTATTTAATAGGTCTTTACAAACATAAAGGTACATGAAAGACCACTAAGGCAGGCTTAAATTTTTCTTAAATAGCCAAAAAAAATTTTTGTTTTTCATGGGTTAAAAACAGAGTTGATTATTTCTCGGTTAGAGCAGGATGAATATTATTCTTTAACGAAGGAAATAATATTGCTTTTTGCAAATACACATCACAGTATCGACGCTACTATTTTGTTACGTTTTGTTCCAAAAATGTTGGATGTCTCTGGGGAGTTGCTTGTTATGACTTATGAAGTTGTATGGTTTGATTGTGTTTCATTCTCAGTTTATTCTGAACTTAACAAGATAAACAAGATTAAGAAAAGGCAAATGAGTTTGAGTTTTCTTAACAAGATTTCAGAACTTTGAAGAAGTTAGAAGAGCTTCACAATTCTATTGTGACACCAGCATGCCCTAATTCAGAACTACGAACGCGGATATTCATGACGATCCTTCTCGATGCAGTGGTCTCATGAAATAAGGAAACGTATTCGTGCTAGGAACACCTGCACACGGATTTCGGACAAATAAATCTTGCTTGTATTTTGTAGATAATA